GCTAAATAATGCAAATGTTGACTTTCATTTGCATTTTTATATTTAAACCCTAATCGACTACGGAGTAATGGTATTCGTAGTCACTCACTACAGTAGTCACCCTTATGTAGCATACACATGACAGGTGATTATTTGATGCATTAATGTGATAGTTTTTACCTTTTTTTATTCATTAATGCATCAAATAATCACCTGCCATGTGTATGTCACGTAGAGTGACTATATAAGTGAGCGACTGCAAATAATATTATTCTTTTAATAAAGATTAGGCTTTATTTAGCCAAACGTAACTTCCAAATAAAGTCATTGTCTTTAATGTTTCATACAATGCTTGTTTTCTTGTTTAACCTTAAAAACAATGGACTAAAGAACAAATCCAATTGGAATAAACCCCACCCCCAATCGATAACTTAGTCAATTTCATCATTTATTATTAATATTAAAAGAATTAATCTGACTATTTCGTCGATTAAATAATATAAAAATCAGTAAAGAGACCTAAAGAGCTATTCAATTAACCTTGCTAAAAAAATTTCTCCAATTTCTAGTTTTTTTTCCTTAAAAAAATAATTGTAGATTGGAACATCTACCTTTATAAATCAATTTAATAGTTCAGGATTTTAATCAATACTTATCCATTAATGACTTGGATAACAATTAATAAAGACATGTTTTATACATCACAATCAATTCATAATCCTGTTCATGAACTCGCATGGAATGATGCCTCAATTTTATATTTAAAAAAAAAAAAATGGGGACAAAAAAGTCAACGATAAATAACAGTAATTAATAGTTTAATATGATAGAAAATTATATCGTAATTATCAAGATAAGAAAGGTTCAACTTCATTGCTTGAATTTAGGTGGTGAAATAATCGAAGTTTCTGTTTATCTCTCATCCTATATAAATTACATTCGGAGTTCATACCATACCGTACTTCCATTATTTCTTGCTTTGACAGACTGTAATTCTCTCTCTGTCTCTTTGGGGTTTTTTTTTTTTTTTTTTTTTTTTTGGGTTGAAAAGTGCATTAACAAGATCCCACCTTCTAGTTTCATCACTTGTATCCTTTCAATTATGTTGTGAAAATGGTTGTTGGGTCGATAGAAATTTGATTTTTGGGTTGAAAAGAGCATTTATAAGAACCCGATTTCTATTTCACTTCTTTCAATTATGTTATCGATCATGAATATAAACAAGGTTTAAGGGCTTCTTTTTGAAAGATTTGGAGTTTATATGAAACTGGAAATACTTTGTTGGACTGAGTTTTACTTTTCCCCCTACCATGTTTTTGTTATATTCAGACACGAAATTCTTGCTAATACTAGAACATAACTGTTGGATTTTAAGGTTGAAATGAATTAGCCAACAGATTCTTTATGCAGACTTTATTTTATTTTATTTTGAATTCAAATTTCTGATAGATCATTAGTAAAGAAGAAGTAATATTTTGGGATTTGTTACTGTTCTTTCTTATTTTGTATAGGACATGGGAAACTTACTGTGTTGTGTACAAGTGGACCAATCTACAGTTGCCATTAAGGAGCGTTTTGGCAAATTTGATGAAGTACTTGAACCGGGGTGCCATTGCTTGCCTTGGTTTCTTGGAAGCCAGCTTGCTGGCAGTCTCTCCCTTCGTCTACAGCAATTGGACGTACGCTGTGAAACCAAGACAAAAGTCTGTTTCTTCTGCATAATGTTACCATTAAATAAAAGCCTTGGCGTGTTTGCACAATCAAGTTTAATTCAGCAAAACTAATTGATTTATGTAATTACTGTTTTTTAGGACAATGTATTTGTCAATGTAGTGGCATCAATTCAATACCGCGCCCTTTCGGACAAGGCAAGTGATGCTTTCTACAAACTTAGCAACACAAGAACCCAAATTCAGGCCTATGTCTTTGATGGTACATGCATAAACTTGCACTTGATATTTCCGGTTCTTTTTATAGATTGAGATTTGTTTTTATTTTTGTTCGGTTTTATCTGAAATTTGTTTGGTGTCTCCGTTTGTTCAGTGATAAGAGCAAGTGTTCCAAAACTCTATCTTGATGATGCTTTTGAGCAAAAAAATGAAATTGCAAAAGCTGTTGAAGATGAACTTGAAAAGGTAACGTCTGTTCTGTTGTGATGCTGATTTATGTTGATGAACCTAATTCTTTAATCAGT